ATCGGTAGACTCATAACGATTGAAAACAATGTTTTTGTTTGAGTTTGGGTTTGACCAATTCGTAAAAAAAAAAGAAAAAAAATAATTGAGACATGCGTGTCCGTCAACCTTAAACAATAATCTTTGTTAATTTTATTTTTCAGTCTTTATGATGGTCGATACTTGATCTATCTCTTACTGTTACCTCCCCGGGTAATGCCGGGCTCTACTGCTTGTTATATATATATATATATATATATATATATATATATATATATATATATATATGCTAAGTCCGACAATTATTTTAATACATTTATTGTTTATACCTTATTTTTTATAGATTCAAATGTTTAAGTAAATGCTCTGTTTATTATACCTTTTTATTTTATTTTATATCAACATTTACCGGCCTGAATGCCCGAGAAATCTCATAGAAAATATGTGTCCTCCGACGGGAATCGAACCTGTATCCTAGACGGAACCTTCATATAGCCTGACATGCTATAACATTTAGCTGCAGAGGAAGTGTCTGGTAAGCAAAGTCGAATTACTGCTTTTAAACTACAAATTTCCCATGATTTCTTTCGAACGCTTATATCTGCTCGAAGTGTATCTTAACATAAACAAATGACGGCATATATTATGAAATGAACTAAGTCCGATAATTATTTTCTATGAAATTCCTCGGACATTTAGGCCGGTAAATGTTGTTATTACTGTTTATTATAAACAGTGCCAAATACAACAAAAAAATGTATCAATTGAGGACTTTCAACAGCAACAACAACAAAAATAACTAGTACCTGTAACTGGAAAAGAAAATAATGACATTATCAAAATGTAGATATTCCACGTAACTCCGAACAAAAGGTTAGGAAGGAAACCCCAATTAATACTGTAAAGATTCGTTTGGTTTGGTTGATTTTGTTTCGTTGATTTTTTGGTTTGGTTGATTTTTGTTTTGATTTCGGGCACCCAGTGAGGATCAACACGTCTATGTGTAATAACCCCTCCCTCGCCAATAATTTTAGGAAAAAGGTTTCATTTTCAGAATATTTTTTTTATTTGTATTCAATATATTAAATAATATATTTATTATTTACTAGCAGCATGGCCCGGCGTTGCCCGTGCTTGATTCAAAAATCGTATGATTCATACGCAATCGCTATCATTTGACTTAAAATATTTTTGCCCTTCCTTACCTTTAAAGGAGTGCCCTTTGCCGTGCTGATGTTGCTACATGCCTTACTTCTTGCCTATCTCACACTGCGAATTTTTTCGAAGCTCTATACTAAACATTAAATCTGTTACGAAAAAAGAACTAAACAAAATGAACACAAAACGATCAGCTTTTAAAAAAGGACTCGTAACTGGAAAAACCGAATGAAAAAAGAATGTTAACAACAAATACTTTTTCACACCCAACCCAGTTCTGCAGAATCAGAATCAACGTTGAGTTTAAGCAAGCAAATGAGCCAATTGGAGTAAAGTGCCATGCAGATTTTAAATTTTTCCCTTGTGACGAATGCAGCTATCGATTTTTTTTGCATGCTAGCATGCTAGTTAACATTCGTGTCAGTCAGCTGTTGGCTCTCACGCTGGCCAATAGAATCTTCCTGCCTATTCGAGGCAGCCAGCTATATACTCTCACTCTGGCTAGTACAAAATGTCCGTAGACTACATGAAAACTGCCGTAGAAGCATGAAAAAAATCGATTATTTCCACTATCCATGGAAGTTGGGAAATGCAAAGTCGGTGTTGGCCTTTCCCGCTAACTTGGAGCATGTGCATGTAAATTTTGGTGCAAATCCGTCGAAAATTGCGGCCGTGCATTCGTTACACACACACACACACACACATGTTGATGATGAGGAGTATAAAGATAATGAAAGATGAGAAAAATAGCAGTCAGTTGCCATTTCAGGATGTAGTTGAACTGTTGGAAAAATTGGACCCTGTTTCGAAAACAATATCGAAACTTAAGCGGTGGGAAAAGAAAAAAAAAAAGGTCAGTATATACACTGCATTTATCGGACTGTTGTCCTTATCATCATTTCATATTCGCGACGTTTCGACTATTTTACGCTCCGCCGGCCTTCGTCAGGTGATATACGTAGTTATTTCGAACTGTAAATAGTTACATTATCTCAGAAATATGGACTAAATTTATCTGGTGACTGAAATTTTTTTCACGGTTAGCTTTTAGTGTACTTTGCTCCTTCCCTCATTGAGCAGCCTTCTAAAGGCAAAGCTGCTCAACATTATATATATATATATATATATATATATATATATATATATATATATATATATATATATATATATATATGATTTTAAATAAATAATTATATATATATATAATTATTTATTTAAAAATTATAACATAAATATGTTATTTGTAGTGATTTTATAACATATTTATTCTTTTTTACATAAATGATTATATCTGCTCTACTCTGTATTGAGCACTCTTTTAAGAATAGTAATTGTTGGTTATTGAATTTCTTCCATAAAGACCAATCCTATACTTGTATATATATATATATATATATATATATATATATATATATATATATATATATATATATTTGGTTGGGTTTATGTAGATTGCGTGAATTGGTGTTATTATGGAAATGTGGGGAGGGATCGTCGTGGTGATGTCACTCATGCTAACGCAAACATGCATGTCCGAACACCTGATGAGGTACGCAGACGCACATACACACTCGCTCGTCCGCCGGGGCTCATACAGACATAAACTTATGTGGACAGAATGGGATTTGACATAGTGATTTTCCATAGCTTAGATGTGGCACAAGGCCGAAAGTAGGGGCGGCACCCAGTGAGAATCGAACTCACTACTCAGCCGTAACTGTTCTAGGGAGACAAGCTTGCTAACCATTACACCACCTCGAGGTGCCCAGGGATTTGACATATGTATGTATATGGGTGCTGTTGTCTATATACATACGCATTTGTATGTTGAAATTCAAAGATCGGAAGTGTAGCGAAAATTTCTCGTGAATGTCTCGTGAATGTATACATGTCAGCAATCAGAGCATTTTTCTATTTTTTCGCTGAATAATATTTCCTGGCATGCACGTATATACGTGTGGTGGGGTCTGTGTAAAATTATGATAGGTAAAAATTGCTATTATTTTTAATTTTTTAAAGTTTATTCCCCACCCACTTCCATAACAACCCCAATACACGCATTCTACATGAACCCAATTTTTTTCTTAAATTAATCAGTTTGTCCGACGATCGCAAAAGCGTGAAACCCAGGGTCACAAACTCATATCAATCCAACCAAATATGTTAGCTCTATCTCTGATATTGAGCGCTTTCTAATAAGTACCGTGCATATAATATATAAATAACAATAATAATAATAATAATAATAATAAATATATATATATATATATATATATATATATATATATATATATATATAAAAAGAAAGAACAGTAAGATATATAATCCGGTGTTCTTATAGATATTTTTATTTTTACAAAATAGTGCTCAATGTAAATTTACAGAGCATTATTATTATAAATTAATTGATTTAAAATATGTTTTTTAGTCGCTACACAGTTCTAACCATGTTTCAAAAATGGAAGGTCCGAATTTAATTTTGTAATTAGATTAAAGACATTAGTTCCATTTCTCAATTTAAATCAATTAATTTATAATATGTATATGTATATATATGTATGTATATTTATATTCATATACTCACACATTTCACATATATATATATATATATATATATATATATATATTCTTTTAGCAAGGCTGCTCAATATATATATATATATATATATATATATATATATATATAGTGAGAGAGAGAGAGAGAGAGAGAGAAAGAGTGTATGTGTAATACAAAAATTGTCAAAATCTTGTATGAGGTTGGTGCAAAAATAATGACGTGATAATGTCGTTTTTTGACCTTAAAAATACGTCAAAAAACGACATTATTACGTCATTATTTTTGCACCAGCCTAATAAAACAGCATGGGTTAATTGTCCATCTCACAAATTTTTTTATATCTATAGAACCACTAAACGCATTAAGTTTCTTTTTTTTTTCCCCAGGTTTTCAGATAACACGTTTAGCCATCTTGATAACAATAAGAGCCTCCGAACTACGTAAAACTTGAAGCTGTCTGCTTCTTTGCCAATACCTACAGGGCCGCTCTCCTGGACAAGAGGAAGAGATGAAAGAACTGCAACGTTATACCATTAAGCCCAGACCTGAATTGCAGCTGCAATTGCTGCAACCCTGTATGCACGTCCTGCATTTAACGTATCAGTCACAGACGTGCCTTGTGAAATTTTGTTTTGCAAAGCGAAGCCATGACGATGATTTTACATTCTGAACAAGAATGATTTTAAAACAAATATTTTCCGATTTTGGCAAAGGTCATTTTTAGAGAAATATCTAGTCAATGCTAATTTAAAAAAAAAAAAGATGTTAAAGAAATATTATTCCTTGTTTTGCTTACGAGCGGACCACTTAATTTAAATAGGTCCAAATTTGTTACTGCTGTGGACAAGCAAACAAACACATCTGGAGAAGAAACATCAAGAATAATGAAATTGTTCCCTCCAAGAAATTAGTCCAGTTTATTGCTTGTCAAAATGTAAACAAGGAAGACAAATAAATAAAAGAAAGTAGTCGAAAATTACTAGTAATGTTACAGCCACCTTAAGTACACGTTGGCGGACATTTCATTAAAATCCGAAATAAAAATTGTGCCCCGAAACCTGCCAATTCACAGAGCACCAAATTGGCAGATGGAAGTTCAAAGACAAAGCGAAAATGACTTTGACGAGGATATTACATTTCTTAACAAGAGCTATAATGTCCTTATTATGTTCTGTTCGAGGACGATTACAATATCACCGTATCCAATAAGCAGACGACCGCTTTTCCCCCTGTTGTTGTGGAAAGTAACTAGGGAGGATATGAACGCGGTAGAAACTCTTCAAAAAGGTGAGAGCACGAGTCAGGTCTAGGGAGGGGAGGAAAAGTTGGTAAATTGGCTTTTCAGCTTAGTCGAACGTGCAAAGAAGGTATACCGCATAAAAGCGAATAACGACAGAGAGAAGAAAAGAAAAAATGGAGAAATGAACACAGATTGAAAGAAAACGCTGACCAATATGGCGAATGAAGTCAATATGGCGACGGTATTATCGCTTAGTTCTTCTCTAAAATGAAAAGACATGAGAAAGATGGAGAAAAAAGAAAACAAAAGAAACACACACACACACACACACACGCACACACACACAAGAAAAAAGAATATTTTCTGAAGTGTATAAAGAAAGTTTATGACAGAAAATAATAAATAAAAAAAAAAAAGACGGTTGAAAGAGACAAGGACATTATCTACTATGAAAAGCTTCTTTTTCAGTTTTCTTAATTTAGTCGTTATTCCACAGGGCATTCGCTATATCTCATTTCCAACTCTTTACTACTTCTCTCAACAACTAACCCTTGTGACCTCATATTCTGGGAGCCTCACCGCAGTATAATGAACTTTATAGATCATTAACAGGACGTTCCGATGGTGCGTGTAATATAATGGCTCTCAGCGTGGAAAATGAAGTCGACAAGCTGAGTACAAGTTCCGGCCGAGGTAACTGCCTTCGCTTTTGCATGATGGCAATATTAAAATCTACGTTTTATATACAGGTAATAATCGATAGTCATTGACCGAATGTGTAACATGAATAAGTACCTGCTGTAGTTTATATTAATCTCTTAAGTTTTCCTAAAAAACAAAAATAAATAATAGTAACTCTAACGCAGATAATGTCAGATTGGTGGCTGATCTCAAAAACCTGTTTGTTTTGTTTGTTTAAAGGCATATCAACTACTTATGGGTCATTTAATTTGTAGAAAAGACAATGGGAAATCAAGTCACGTTGGTGATTGGGAAAACACCATGCAGGATGTTCGTTCCATAAAGCAGCAGTTCTTTGGAAGGGACTATCCGAGTGGAACTTAGTAATGGAAGACGAACGGAACGTGGGCTGAATGACGTTTGAAGGTTGGTCCCAATTGTAACGGTCAGGGCTGGTGTGGCTAAGTAATATCGCTCGTCAGAAGATGAAAATAACGATGGAATAGCGAGTCTTATTAATTTCAGTTCTTTTATCGTTCTCTCTCCCTTGATAGTGCTTTCTTTGCGGCATAACGCACACTAACCCGCTTGCGTCTTAGAGGCTTTATTGCCTTGCTTGTAGGGGAATGAATAAAAAATATCTTATTAGATACTAAATTATAAATAAACGGATAAATAAACATAAGTTTTTGAGAATGTTAATTATTATCTTTTTATTATAAATTATAATTTTTTTTTTGTTTTAATAAATAAGTCATGAAAAGTATACTTTTTTTTATACTTTTTGATAATTATAATTTAAGTGTGCCGCGAAAGTTCAAATATGCCGTGAAAGTTTAAATATAGGTTCAAATATGCCGCGAAAGTGTATCTCTAGATTCGAGTATGCAGTCGAATGTTTACTATAATTTCAAGTATGACGCGGAAGTTTAAATATTGTTTCAAGTATGACGCAGAAGTTTAAATATTGTTTCATGTATGACGCAGAAGTTTAAATATTGTTTCATGTATAAAGTTTAAATATTGTTTCATGTTTAAATATTGATGTATGACGCAGAAGTTTAAATATTGTTTCATTCAGAAGTTTAAATATTGTTTAAAGTATGCCGCGGAAGTTTAAATATTGTTTCATGTGTATGACGCGGAAGTTTAAATATTGTTTCATGTATGACGAAGTTTAAATATTGTTTCATGTATGACGCAGAAGTTTAAATATTGTTTCATGTATGACGCGGAAGTTTAAATATTGTTTCAAGTATGACGCGGAGTTTAAATATTGTTTCATTGTTTAAATATTGTTTTCATGTATGACGCAAGTTTTAAATATTGTTTTTCATGTATGACGCAGAAGTTTAAATATTGTTTCATGTATGACGCGGAAGTTTAAATATTGTTTTTGCCGCGGAAGTTTAAATATTGTTTCATGTATGACGCAGAAGTTTAAATATTGTTTCATGTATGACGCAGAAGTTTAAATATTGTTTTCATGTATGACGCAGAAGTTTTTAAATGCCGCGGAAGTTTAAATATTGTTTCATGTATGACGCGGAAGTTTAAATATTGTTTCATGTATGACGCAAGTTTAAATATTGTTTCATGTATGACGCGGAAGTTTAAATATTGTTTCATGTATGACGCAGAAGTTTAAATATTGTTTCATGTATGACGCGGAAGTTTAAATATTGTTTCATGTATGACGCGGAAGTTTAAATATTGTTTCATGTATGACGCAGAAGTTTAAATATTGTTTCATGTATGACGCAGAAGTTTAAATATTGTTTCATGTATGACGCGGAAGTTTAAATATTGTTTCATGTATGACTCAGAAGTTTAAATATTGTTTCATGTATGACGCGGAAGTTTAAATATTGTTTCATGTATGACGCGGAAGTTTAAATATTGTTTCATTTGACGCAGAAGTTTAAATATTGTTTCATGTATGACGCGGAAGTTTAAATATTGTTTCATGTATGACGCAGAAGTTTAAATATTGTTTCATGTATGACGCGGAAGTTTAAATATTGTTTCATGTATGACGCGGAAGTTTAAATATTGTTTCATGTATGACGCGGAAGTTTAAATATTGTTTCATGTATGACGCGGAAGTTTAAATATTGTTTCATGTATGACACGTAAGTTTAGTTATAGGTTCAAACATGCCATAAGTTAAAAAAAAATGTTCAAAAACATCGTATATCTCTTGGTGAAGGCATGAATGTATCTCTTCTGTCACTTTTTAGGTTAAATAGCAACGTAGATTGGGTTCTTGAGCTTTGCGACAGTAACCAGTCATAGAGAAGCAAAACCGTGGATACGGCAATGGTAAACCACTCAACGATGTTTCCCCAGAAGGCACGGCAATTCATAAAGAAGGAAACTGTGGAGAGACATAATCGCCTACGTCCTGAGAGAACATGGAATTTAAAACAAAAAATAGTGAGTCTAATCCTCACTGTTTTTTTATACATGTGGTCTAAGTTTATTTATTAAACCTCATATATTTATTTATATAGCTCGATAATGTTATGAGGTATGTGTTGTCGCTAGGTATCAAATATATTTAGATGCAGTTTTTACTTGTTTACGAGTTAGAAAATTTTCTTTCTATGTAGGTGAAGGTCTACAAAAAGATTTTCTTTTTCTTTTTTAGTTATGTTGTAATACTAGAATTTTTTTTTTTTTGCAACACGCTGATGGGTATTGAAATTTTCACAGTATTTACTATTACTTGTTAGTCACCGCGAACATATTTTTTTTACGAGATTTACAAACACTACATTTCGTTCAATGTTGCAAACCAATCGATGAAAATTGAATAAGCTGCTTTGTTTGGAAATATAGTTTGACAAAAACCTTACTTCACGGTTTAATAATTTTTTTTTAAATTAAATCTAATTTTATAAGAGTTCATTTTTTTTAAGAAAATTTCATTTTTTTTCTTTTTTTAAGAACGAAGAATATATTCTTAGGATTTCATACTCTTGAGCATGCAACATACAACTGACCATACGTAAGTATTTTTTCTTGGAGCCAAATTTCAACGTTTTGAAGGGTTTGGCCTTATGATTTGTTTACAGTTCTCGCAAACGCATGGCAAATTGGTAACTGAATTCTTGTCCATCCAAGAGAATATTAGGATAGTTAAGGAATAAACTTTATTCATAGGATTAATAACACCCGTCCTATTCTAACCAGAGTACATTGTAGTATTCTGTTGTCAAATGTGGTTTTTGATCGATCAATCTATGGCTATTTTAGAGGGCGTGACCGACGGACGGACGGTCTAAGGGAAGTAAAAGAATTTTATATATACCGTGTGTAACAGAAAAAAATGTCCAAATTCTGTACCAGCAAAATTGTCCGATTGTTAGCTTAAGCTTTGAAATGTTGTATCTGAGAAATGATTAAAGATATCTTATTGGAATTCTTCGAAGTTTTTTTTATAAAACTATTGGACTTTTAAACGAGAATGCATTTAACTCTAAGTTGAAATGATGATCCCTCTTCCTGTTCCTGATCCAGATTTCCTTTTTGTACTGTTTCCTCTTTTTTAAAACTTATTCATTGTTTCTTGATGGGTCTTGAATAGAAATTTGAAGATAGAAGCCGGAGTATGAATGTTGCTACTATTACTGAAGGCCTGAATGATCTTTTTCCTCTCACCAGTGCTCAACTCGGAAGACATAGTTTGACCAACACAAAGCGATTTTAAACTGTTCTCTTTCTAGCTGTATAACTCAAAGGGTTTTTTTCTATGATTCTTACGACAAATGCTGTCAGGATGGCTAAACGTCTTATCTGAAATCCTTGCAAAAAAGAAACTCAATTAGTTTAGTGTTTTTTTTTTAGATATAAAACATTTTGTGGGATGGAAAATTATCCCATGGTTTGGACAATTTTGCTCTTACACCCGATAGATATGTATATAAGATTACAGAGCAACCCCGGTTCTTGAACGTTTCAGATGTCGAACAAATCGGTTTTCGAAGAGAATATTCGAGAAGAAAATGCCTCGGTTATCGAACAAAACTTCGGTTCTCGAACAAGCAGAACCGAGTTAAACCGAACGGAATCATTTTTTTAGTCTACCGTTGTGTTGTGTTGTGTTTTTTCTTTTACAATTTTATCCTACTGTGCCTTTTTTTTTCTCTTCATTAGTCCTCAGTCTTGGCTCCAATGAAAGCTAGCAGGGATAATGGCAATGGAAAAAGAAAAGCTAAGAAAAAAACAATCGTTGTTGATATTGTCTCTATGATGATGATGATGGTGGTGATGATGATATTGTCTATATGATGATGATGATGATGATATTGTCTATATGATGATGATGGTGATGATGATGATGATGGTGATGATGATGATATTGTCTATATGATGATGATGATGTCTCTATGATGATGATGATGGTGATATTGTCTCTATGATGATGATGATATTGTCTCTATGATGATGATAATGATGATGTCTCATTGATGATGGTGATGATAATGATATTGTCTCTATGATGATGATGATGTCTCATTGATGATGGTGATGATGATGATGATATTGTCTCTATGATGATGATGATGATGATATT